TGGTCACATTCTGCCCCTTTCTTAGCAAGTTTATCTGCGGTTTTCTTTCCTGGTATACCATAGTGGGATGGCACCCACTGGAGTACAGCACACTTTTATGCAATCATCTTGCCAAGTTCAGATCTCAAGTGAGGGAGTTTGCCACTCTTGCGGGCTTGAAGCCCGATAGTGCATATGTGAATATGACCACTTGGTGGCAGTCAGAAATGGCGTTAACATTTCGGTAGCCTGCTCTAGTGCTACGATCTCTGCTGTGTAGTTGGAACAGAATTTCAGTGCGTAAATACTTTGTGTGGCGGTGGTTGCCTGGGTATGTAAAAAAAGACTCCAGCACTCCCCATTTTTAACCACACTGGCTGCTTAACCATTCGTGTAAACATGTATCCACGACTGTTCAGGATAGATTTCATGAATCATGCTAAGAGCATCTGTTCGTTTTTGAAGGTTTTTGGACTCACCTGCAGTTTTGAATCCATTGACTGAAGTCATTATCTGTATTGTATCACTGACTTGCTCCCAAGGTACAGGGTATAGGGTAGGTTTCAGCGGTCTTGTTCTAATAGGTAGATCTGCTTGAAACGCTCTTCTAAGCCCTTTCCCCCGATGGATAAAGCTGCTACGTTTGAGACGCCCTAATGCCAGATCATCTAACCTTTCATTCATTGGGTGTGACTGCATACTTTTAAACTTCTCCATCTGGATCATAGTTTTAGTGTATCTTCTTTATGATAATGTCTGCATTGAAGTTTATTTTCTGCATCTGCAGGATTGGTGCAGTTTTCATGGATCCTGTGATGAGTCTAAGGCCTGGATTTTGCACTCTGTCTAACGATTGTAGATTGGAATTAGCAGCTGTTAGCCATGCTGTTGCACCAAACTCCAAGTGGGGTCTTATTGCTCCATTATAAACTTTCTTTAGGTTTTTTTTTAATTCGCTCCTCTTCCTGTACCTGCCAGTTTTCTAAGTAGGCCTAGTAGTCACCAAGCCTTTACTTCTACATTTTCTATATGTGTGCTCCACTTGGGCCTTTTATCAAATGTTACTCCAAGATAAGTGGGGAAGCTTTCTTTCTTTAGCAGGGGTAGCAAGTTGAATTCTAATGTCATCACTTACCCACTGTCAATGCAACAAATGTGTGTAAGAAGAATTGAAACAAAAGAATGCCATTGACTTAACTTGCATGCACTTTCAAACCGTGTATGTGCATGCAATATGTGAGAAATATGAGTGACAACATTCATTCTATGTTTGTAACAGGGAGGGAAAAGCAAACACTATGACATCCCATATCATCAGTGGAAGTCTTACGTGGCAGCTATGACCAAGAAGGAGGAGGAGAAAGCATCTCACATTCAAGATATGTAAGCTGAGTTGGTTTGTTTTTCCATTTCCCAGTTGCAAACCCATAAGTTGATAAATACAATGTAAAAGTCTTTTCCACACTTCCAGACGTATTGGAAATAAAGGGCTAAATTATATAGAGCAATCGGCACTCAGTGGTTGATGTGGTCAGCATCACACTGGCCGCTTTTACTTCCCAGGTAGTGGTTAAGTGAATGCCCCATGTAGGTGGATTTCATATCAGGCATACAGTTTTGTGCAAACACATATCTTTATCAACCAATCTGCACTCGATGAATAATGTGGTCAACATCACGCCGGCCGCTGTTGCTTCCCTAGCTATTTTCTAATACACATTACAGACTGGGTAGACATGAGAGCCAACCAAGGTGTTCTGTAAAATACGCCAGCAGATCTTCGAGTGAGCATTCGAGTGTCTAACTGCTGTGCCTCCATGGCCCTCGTGTGTTTTTATTTATCTTTGTTTCTTAGGCCCTAATCGTTGCAGTGCGAGGACATTCTATAATCTTGCTTTCTTGACTGCATGTCCCATCCAATACAAAGCGTCTTTTCATTACCTCTTGTTTCAGTGATATTTATGCTGGTGTATATAATCATCATCATCATCATCATTTTCATGTGTAGTGTCGATATTCGTAGGCTGTCCTGTTTTACAGTCTAACACGATCACCATAATCACTGACCATTTCAATGTTTCTGCTCGCTCCATCCATCTAGCTGAGCAATCCCTGGATTTATCGCTGTGTCTTCCTCTTGCTTTCATCACTCTTGCTAGTTATTACCAAGTTCTTGAGTCCATTTCTTCTCATAATATGTCCAAACATATTGGCTGTCTACTTCTAATTGTTCTAATAAGTTTACGACTTTCATCTATCTCATTGATAACTGCTTTGTTTTTCTCTTTTCTTATGATACTCACTGCATTCTTCTCAGAAACAATATCCCTGTAGCCAGTAAATGGTTGTCAGCATGTCTGCTTACTGTTCGTGTTTCACATGCACATAACAATACAGGTTATACTTAAAACTTTAAACACTCTTTTTCTCACTGCAAGTGACATTTTGTTATTGGTAAGAATCTGTTGCATCTTGCTAAGGCCACATTTGCCATGGCGATTTTGTCTCTAATTTCTGCAGGGCATCTTGAACCTGATGTTTTGTCTGCTCCTAAACAGTTTTATCTGTTAATGTGGTCAGGAATGTATATTTCACAATCTGGTATTTCTTTCTTTTTGAAGATGACTTTGATTTTCGTTTTCTTAAAATTTAACTCCAAGCCCAGTTTCTCACTGTGGACTATAACTGCATCCACTAAATTCTGCACAGCTTATTGGTATATAAGGCATATAAATAACCTGTATGTTTCTGTTTAATCATTAGCCTTGCAGAGCTGGAGGAAGGCAGTGATACTCACAATGTGATGATCAAACGTCTCAATGAAAGAGTTGTCAACATCGAGAGAAACCAGATTATGGCGGGGTTTATTCTAGAGAGCATCATGAACAGCGTGGAAGCTCTCGGTAGGCACCAAGTTCCTTCTGAAACCAACTTTCATTAATTGCTTCTTCTTCTTCTTCTTCTTCTTGTTCTCTTCCACCTTGTACCTCATCGAAGTGTCAGGGGGAGATGTAATGTTCGTTGATGAGCTCTGTCAAAGCACTATTAGGACTGATGTTCATTTCTGTAAGGCTGTTCTTAATGCCATCACTCCAAATTTTCCGAGGTCTTCCCCGTTGTAACGTTTAAGTGTGGCTCGCTGTGGCGGATAGTACCAGGGCATTTTTGTTAGGTGTCCAAACCACCTCATTTGTTGTTCGTTAACAACCTAATTTAAAAGTTTATTTTTCAACGGATCAACATCATTTCACACGAGGCAACCCATAAATGCTCCGTTCTACTTTTAACTCAAGCCTGAGTCTGAAGAATCTCAACGCAGTACATGGACTCCGTGGCACCGGCGAGGACCCTAAAAACTGGGTAGATTTTTAACTACACATTTTGAGCGGGAAGCAACATTAGGCTACTCTTTCAATTTCCAACGGTCGGGAGTTTTTATTTAACGTGCGCAACAATACACACGGGTGTCCGGTCTTACTACCCAGAGACCATGGACATTACTAGAAGTCCACGTAAAAAAATCCCAGCCTTAACCATGATTTGAAACCGGGACTCCAGCACTCAAAGCGGATGCCATACCTCGAGACCACTCAGCCCGCTAATTCAGAAGTAACTAACACGTTAGTTTCGTATCCTCCACAGGACGTTGCAGAATTAACCCCAGTGATCATAACGTTAGGTTGAATTTATAGCAGCCGGTTTAGGTTTTGTCGACGCGAGAACCTATACAAGTGAAACAAATCAGCTTCGATATCTGTTTTTAACAACAACACAAATTATTCCAGGGCTGGCTAAAGCTTCTGCCATGCCATATCGTCATCATGTAGCAGGTCCTTCGCGAACGTCGCTCTCAGCTCAGCCTGTCTGAAAGATACTAGGCCTCTTGCCAAATCTCTCGCCTCATTCGCTTTACTTCCCTTTAAATCTCGTATACGATATTCCCAAGTTCGTTCTGGTCAGCTCTTGTCATTTATTTTCTTGGCATCATACCTTCTGCTAAAATTATTGGTTGATGGAGCCACACCGTTTGACAAATAATTGTATACATTGGTTTTCACTACTTAGTTAGAGAAATAAGTAATTATACCAGCAGGCAGACGAACAGACATGGAATCAGACAGACAGACAGACAGACAGACAGACAGGCGAAACATACAAGAAATACACCAAAATGGCAGGTATACATTTAGTCAGACAGACAGACAGACAGCACTCTGAAGCTGAAACAAAGAAAACGATACGGAGCTGCGCAACCGTATATATTTTCTGGTGGGAGGGTGTATCAAGTCTGGACGAAAAACCAGATAGCGCGGTTTACAGGCGGTCAAGCGATCAACACACAGAAGAAGAGGAAGAAGATAACTAAGGTAACTCAAAAGCAAAACATTTATATATATATATATATATATATATATATATATATATATATATATATATATATATTATATATATATATGTATGTATATATATATATATATATATATATATATATATATATATATATATATATATATATAAATGGCGTACATACACACAATGACATGATTTATTTCTTCTGATGTTAAGATCCGTCAATGCCCGCACCTATAAGTCAGATCAGACGAGTCCACACTGCCTCCAGGAGCTCTCCCTACCCAGGGACATATATTAACAGGTTCCCTGTTCTAGAGAAGGATGTATCCTGGGATGTAAGCATCGTTTCGCATTATTTCTCTTTCAGTATTAAGTCAGTATTAGTTTTCTAAACAGTTGTTATTTAGGCATTACCGGTCTGGATAAAAGAGTTTAAAATAATCGCATTGGGACAGGAAACGACAGACTGAGTTGGTTCTTAAGAGGTAAGAACAGTATATTATGTCAGCTGAGACCAGTAACACTTTGGTGAGCCTCGATTACCTTTGTGCATATTTTTTTTTTATGTGCTGTATAAAGCTGGAAGACACCAGGGGGATCATGTCGACACTACACTCAACAGAATAACAAGACAGACATAAACTCAAACTGCGAAGGGCATCGGTGGATTTTATGGCTGCTGAAGATATGGACGAAAGGCGTACATGAATGTCCTGAATGCCGTAATGTCAGTTCTAAAATTCAAACCTCAACACTCCACACTAGTCCACGCCATGTGGCATTGATTATCGTATATGTAGACACACTGGTGTCACTTGATAACAATTACTTTTGATTGTTTCCTTACTTGCCTCGCCTTTCAATTTTACTGTTGTGACAATGTTTTCTTCAGTTTTCCTCTTTTCCTTATGTTCGCAAAGCTTGTTTATTTTGAAGTAGGCGGCCAGTTCTATGAGGGAGCTTATTACTTCCAATAAATTTGTTTGCCCTCGGGGTCTTCTAACGACCATTAAGAGCAACCCCCCCCCCCCCCACCCCCTCCCCACCCTTTCCCCCAACTTGCACGTAATTGTTTACTAATAAGCTGACAGTTCGTGATTCACTTTCCCTCCATAAAAATTAAAAAAAAAAACTTTCATTATCTCTTAATTCACTTTATCGTTTCAACTAACAAAGAGATATTGCATATAATCTTCTTCATCATGTAAAAGGCTGTCTGTTCTCTCCCCTCTCCCCATCTCCTTCCCAACCACCGGGTTGCTAGCTGAAGATTCGATCACGCCTAAGACTTCAAGAGTCTCATCTGTAAAACGCTGCTTTTGCTTGAAATATCTTAAGCATACTTTCTGTATTACACCCACCCTATTCCTCTCCAGTTGCCGCAATTATAGATCAAAGGTAACAATAAGAAACATTACGGAGTATAAAGAATTTAAAGACATTTATAGTGCATCATGGGAGCTCTCATTAGCAAAGTGTCTAGATACTATACCAGTGTTTCCCAACCTTTTTTTGTACGCCATGCCCCACCTAACCCTTTCTAAAATTCTGTAGCCTTCTATGTACCATGTATATAATTTTTTAAATATCCGTTTTACAGTTGATTTTCTTTTTCCATTTTTAAAAAAAATAATTATTTTGGTTTTTGTTTTATAATTTTATGACGATTGTCGTGATATGTGGCTCAGTCATTTTTAATTGCAGGTTTTATTCTTTGCATTCTTTGCTTCACATGAGGCCTCGAAAAAAACACATGCATTCTATTTCGAACATTTTAAAGAAATCTACCAAGTTTTTAATAAATGGTGAAAGATGAAAGTCGAATAAGGAATCAATATCACAGAACTCGGGACACTCCCATAAGAGCTCCGTCCCTATCTTTAGCAGTGAGGGAAGAGTTCCAATTCCGGTGGTACTAGTAACTGTCTGATTGTATATCCGTTTCGCCTTTCTCATAAGTGTTAAGGGGGCCAGATCCAATGGCAACTCACTGCAGCACCCTTCTCCTCAGACCGTAATGATGTATTTGTACCTCAGCACTGTTCACTGACTTCTAGAGGGCCGTCACAACAGACAAGACAAGTTTAATGTCATCCTGTAGTATTTTGTCTCTCAGTAATTCCTTATAGTTCTTCTTCTTCTCTTCTTTTTTGCCTTTTTTTCCACTTCAGATGTCGAGGGAGATCTACGGTTCTGCTTCTTGCTCTTCTGGCCACATCAACCATAGACACATCGCCTTGTTGTAGAGTTTTTAACGATGTTACCTTCCCATCAAGCTCTTGATCTACCCTGTGGTCCACGTCCTTCTCCTCTTCTGATATATGCCTTGTTTGGTAATGCATAACAAGACTGTCTCTCCAACCGAGAAGCCATTTAATTTGCTATTTGAATGTACTTAAGAATTAGTTTTGCGTCGACTCAGATTCTTATGACCTATTTCCTAATTTTATCTTTTCTGATCACTCCTAAAGCCCTTCTCATGCAACTCATAATCATGGTTACTAATTTTCTTTCATGGTTTGTTGCGAGTGACGGCGTTTGGCACTGGTGGCTTATCAAAAATTAATCCAAGTAGTGTATGTGTGTTTGTAACACAGTGCATACGTATTGCATTATTTGCTTCAGAAAATAACGGTTTCATCGGAAAGGGTCCTACAAATATTAATAAGCATCCATTTGGGGGGGGGGGGGCTGGGACTGTGGAGAATTATGAGGTTTCTTTAGGATGAAAATCTCGTAGATTAGAGTATTTTCAATTTTGATGCCAATACACCGTGGGAATACATATATAGTTCTGAATTAATCTCCAGAATGTGGCCAAATAGTACTGCGTGAATACCTTCCCAAGGACAGCTGTTGGTCATTGGTTTCGACTTTATGTTCCATTTTCCAATTTAAAAAAAAAAAAAAAAAAGAATTAGGTTGATTCCTGTTAAAAATTACACTACGATTGTCGTGGTTCAGCCATTTTTATTTGTAGTTTTTATTTGGTGTTAGCGTTTGATTGTGTGGGTGCGTGTATGTGTGTGTGTGTGTGTGTGTGTGTGTGTGTTTTAGAAAAAACAATGCTCTTCTCACCTCAGTTGCGCATCGGATCGTAACACTTCACGGAACACTAAAGGAGATTTTTATAAACAAATGAACAAAAAGTTGTTATCATACAGTATCCAATTCAAAGAAGTTGACTCACTTTCGACTCAGATTACTATCAAAATGTATTGTTCTCATGAGATTGAAAACAACATCATTTAGTTATGCGTCCTTTAAAGGATATGGCAAGCCAATGCTTTAGTATTTAATGGCTGTTTGTTGTTTTACTATGCAATTTATGTTCAGTAGTTTGCCATTACTACTGAACGGTGGGTTGTCGACACAAACGCAAAAGTGGTCTGCTGTTAAATTATCCCGCAGCTCGTATCGAACCAGGGATCGCGAAATTACCAAGACCGCTTTCGCAACCCCCAAGCCCTAAACACCCAACTTTTCTATACTACTAAAGCAATACTCAACAGTTACAACTGCTTTTTTTGTTGTTGACAGGTGAAATTTGAAGCTTACGACCCGAGCACATACACTAAACCTGTTGAAGAATTTCCACGTGATGTTCAAAAGTGGATAGATCGAGATATTCTCAAGTAAGCAAAGGTTAAATAAAAAAATTGAATTTAAGAAAAGTGACATCGAATGTGTCCTGTTGAAACGTATTTGTTATATGCAAAAGCCACAATTGAAATACTGCACTTTACTGCCTGACCATCTTGGGGATGTCTGTCATGTACATTGCCTCAGAAGTTACAAGATATCACTCTCTCTATCTCTACTTCCACCTCTTCCTACACCTCTGCCTCTACCTTTACGTGTCTGTTTGTGTGTCCGTCTGTTTATCTGCCTAGCTGCCTGTCTATCTACCTAGCTGCCTGTCTATCTGCCTGCCCGCCAATCTGTCTGTCTGCCTGTCTGTCTGTCTGTCTGTCTGTCCGTCTGGCTGTTCGTCTGGCTGTTCGTCTGTCCGTCTGTCTGTTCGTCTGACTGTTCGTCTGTCCATCTGTCTGTCTGTCCATCTGTCTGCTTGTCCATCTGTCTGTCTGTCCATCTGTCTGTCCATATGTTTCTCTGTCCATTTGTCTGTCTGTCTGTCCATCTGTCTGTCTGTCCGTCTGTCAACCTGTCCGTCTGTCCGTCCGTCCGTCTGTCTGTCTGTCTGTCTGTCTGTCCATCCGTCCGTCCGTCTGTTCGTATGTCTGTCCTTCTCTCTTTCTGTCTGCCTCTTTCTCTGTATGTCTGTCTTACTCTGTCTGTCTTTCTCTCTGTCTGTCTCTGTCTCTCTCTCTCTAAGTCTGTCTCTAATGGTTTGTCTGTCTCTGTCTGTCTGTTTCTCTCTGTATGTCTCTCTCTATGTCTGTCTGCCTCTGCTTGTCTGTATCTCTGTTTGTCTCTCTCTCTGTATGTTTCTCTCTCTCTCTGTCTGTCTCTCTCAGTCAGTCTGTCTCTCTGTCTGTCTGTCTCTATGTCCTTCTTTTTCTCTGTCCGCCTGTCTCTCTTTCCGTCTGTTTCTTTGTCTGTCTGTCAGTCTGTCTTTCTCTGTCCGTCTGTTTTTCTCTGTGCCTCTCTCTGCCGTCTGTCTCTCTGTCCTTCTGTCTCTCTATCCGTCTGTTTCTCTCTCTGTCTGTCTCTCTCTGTCCGTCAGTCTCTCTGTCCGTCTGTCTCTCTGTCACTCTGTCCGTCTGTTTCTTTCTCTGTCTGTCTCTGTCTGTCTGTCTGTCTCTCAGTCTGTCTGTCGGTCGGTCATTGGTCGGTCAGTCATCGGTCAATCGGTCGGTCGGTCGGTCATCGGTCGGTCGGTCGGTCTGTCTGTCTGTCAGTCTGGCTCTGTCTGTCTCTCGGTCGGTCGGACGATCAGATGGTGCCAGCCATATATCACTGGTGTCTGAGTGAATTACAACATATAGTGAAGTTCATACTAGACAAAACATTACAGGTATTGATAACCTATTTCAAGCGAACGAAGGAAGAAGCAGAAATTTAAATTTAAAAACTTCTGAACAATGGAATTAACTGCAGTGCATTTGCTGGTGTCTTTTAGAATATCACGTGGTGATGCTTCAGTCTCTTTCAAAATGCTGATCTTATACCAAGTTTGAAAGCGCGCAAACAGGTTTTCATAAACAGACCATTGCGACCTCAGCCCTAATAAGGGGTCACTATACGGCATTTTCCCCAATTTATGACAAAAATATCACTTTTTCAATGTGTTCGTTTTTGTAAAGTTCGGCATTCGTACAATAGATGACACAAAAAATGTATGTCATTTGTAAACAATTTAGCATTGAAAAGTTAATACTAATGACACCACCTCATGCACTTTTTTAAGATAAAAAAAAAGTTTAAAAGTCAGTTTTCTCAAATCTTTAAATGTCAGTTTGCTGTGTGTGTGAAATCCTAAAATCTAAGCTAATATGAAGAGTAGAATCATGAAATTGTGTACGCTCCATAAACAATATTATAGGGACTGGTCTATCTAAAAGTAGATTTTTAAAAAGTTTTTGTTTCTAAAATTTGATTATTGTCTTACGATGTTAGATTTTTTTGACTTTTTCAATAAACCTACATTTTAAAATTCTACGAAAAATATTTAAAAACATGTTTTAAATAAATAAGCTAGACCTGTACCTCTAGATACGATAAAAGGTCATGGATCTATCATCTATTGTTGAATACCTATGTTTGTTTTTAAAATTTTAGGATTCTAAGTACATATTGTTTTTTTCACAAGGTGGCGGCTATTGCTATGACAACTATGATTTTTTAAACACTTAAAGTATTCAAATGTAATAACATGTATCCCTACAAATGACAATTATAAATTAACTGCTCTAAGTCTGTAAATAAAAAAATAGAATTTTTTGGTGTAGTGACCCCATAAGTGAGGATTGGATTGGGAAACGTTTAGGAAGCTCCTGAGTGGTATGGCTGCACTCAGAATAAACGGTGTCATTTGCAAAGTCTAACATGTGTCCGATGAACAAACCGTAAGCTTGCCACTTGGTCTTTAATGTTAGCCGATAGATCTAATAGGCTAATGCAGTGACTATAAACATATCTAACTTCGATTCACACAGTACCCAATGCATAGTCACAATTTCCATCTTGTCCCTGTCCGAGAACATCCGGTTAAGTGCAGCAGGAGAAGATCAAGGCCTGAGAGTCATGACTCAGGTTGGCCCATCCTCTGAAATTGTCTAAGAGTTCATGGGCCGAAACAACTGTTGACGAGGAATCTTCTACCGATGATTGGTAGACTCCGGCTGTACATCCTTCCCTGTGAAGTTCTTATTATTGTCTTCTTATGTTCAGACTCCGCGTCCAACAAGAAGAGCAAGGCCTTACTGAATTGGATGACGAAACAGGACCTGTGACTGGACCGTTACCAGATCCTATATTTAACACTGTTCAGATGGTTCAGCTTTCCAATGAAATCGAAATAGCTATAAACCGGATTTCATATATTACTGTCGGGGATAGTGCCTTACAGTATGAAATAGATTCTACTGGAGCACCCAGGTAAAACAGATATTATTTATTTGGCTGATTCGTTGATTGGTCGATTAAGCAATCTATTTAATAAATAGCTGAATGATTGACTGGTTGTTTGAGGATACTTAGCTGAAATTAGTAGATGTGAATAGATGTGCACCAACGGCAGACAGTTCAGGGGATGAAAGCAATGACTTTTATAAACTAAACATAGCCTTAGCACAGTGTAAAACCAGAGAATCAACTGTAGTGCTAAAAATAAATTAGACAAACCTCAAGCAAGTTGACATTTTAAAGTACTTGGGTACCATGATAACATCAGATGGAAGATGTATTAGAGAAGTCAAATGTAAAATAGCTCAAGCAAAGGCAGCATTTTTCAAAATGAAGAACATTTTATGCAATCTTTTTTGTCAATTCCGAGAGAAAGAGCATTCTTAAAAGTTTATAAATCGTATCTTGTAATACGAAAGTGTATCATGGACAATTGGGAGATTAGTGACAATTATTTGGAAGCTGCGGAGAAGTGGTTGTATAAACGAATAATGAGAATGCCCTGGGCAGATAAAACGATTTATAAGGATATCTTGAAAGAAACTGACTGACAAAGAAAACTGGATGACTGACAAAGAAAACTGGATGATCACATCAGAAAAAGACAATCTACCTTCTTAGGTCATGTGATGAGAAGGAGAGAGATGGAGAACACCTTGACAGTAGGAAAGTTGGAGGGAAGGGGAAGCAGAGGGAGGCCCAGAAAAATATACTGGATAGTTTGACATGGCATGCAGGATTATATGTATGATTTGAATGAAAGTGCAAGAGACAGTAGATTGTGGATATACATGAATAACAGCGCCACACGACATGGACTTTAGGAAAACAAGTAGGTGACTGGTTATGGTTGGTTGGCTGATTGTTCACTGTCTGGTTGATAGGATGATTTACTGTTTGGTTGATTGGTTGGCTATGTTTAGCTGGTTGACTGATTGGTTGGTTCGGTGATTCGTAGACTGTGATTAGTTAGGAGGTGGACTGTTTGGATGGTTGATTGCTTTGCAGACAGATTCTGGTTGGTTGACGTACAGGTTGGTATGTTGGTTTATTGACTCTCTGGCTGGTTGATAAGTTACTTTATCTAATGAGTTTTTTAAACATTTTTTTGGACACCTGACCCTTTTCTAATAGTTCTGCTTGCCTTTCAATACTCTTGTCTCTTGTCTTGTCTGATTGTCTATAAATCAATCTCTCTGCTTGCATCGATGACCCTTCAGTTATATTCCAGAAACCCTATGGGAAGAACAGGCCTGAGAGGACGTGGCAATCTGTGGAGATGGGGGCCAAATCACATGATCCAGGCGGTCATCTCTCGCTGGGGAAATCAGCTCGTGGACAGCAGTGTACAGGGTTCGAAGACGGGCAGTAAAAATATGGAAATTCTGGTTGAAAAAGACAGCACCGATAGTAGCTTAATTACCCTGCCAGGGGTGAGACAGTTTATGCAATTTTTCTAATGTAGTAGTCGACTTCTAATTTATGTGCTACGTCTCTGTCATCTTCTGTTTGTTTCTCCCTTTCTTCTTTTCACCCTCCCGTCAATTTCTTTGCTTCCCGCTCCACCTGTCTATACTGTTCTGTTTTAATCACCTGGCTCCACCTTTCCTTATGCTCGTCTTGCCACTCCCTCCCTCCCCCAACTCTGCCGCGCTGCCAATAACATACTATTTCTAGATACATTTATAACGACGGACGGGCGGGTACACCGACCGACCAACCGACTACCCACCGACCCACCAACAATCAGACAGACAGACAGACAGACAGACAGACACACAGACACACAGACAGACACACAAGCGGCAGGCAGGCAGGCAGACAGACAGACAGAGAGATAAATAGATAGACAGACAGACAGACAGACAGACCAATGGACAGAGAAACATATGGACAGACAGATGGACAGACAGACAGATGGACAGGCAGACAGATGGACAGAAAGACAGATGGACAGACAGACAGATGAACAGGCAGACAGATGGACAGACGAACAGACAGATGGACAGACGAACAACCAGACGGACAGACGAACAGCCAGACGGACAGACGAACAGCCAGACGGACAGACGAACAGACAGACAGACAGACGAACAGACGTACAGACATACAGACATACAGACAGACAGACAGACAGACAGACAGACAGACAGACAGACAGACAGACAGACAGACAGACAGACAGACAGACAGACAGACAGACAGACAGACAGACAGACAGACAGACAGACAGACAGACAGACAGACAGACAGACAGACAGACAGACAGACAGACAGACAGACAGACAGACAGACAGACAGACAGACAGACAGACAGACAGACAGACAGACAGACAGACAGACAGACAGACAGACAGACAGACAGACAGACAGACAGACAGACAGACAGACAGACAGACAGACAGACAGACAGACAGACAGACAGACAGACAGACAGACAGACAGACAGACAGACAGACAGACAGACAGACAGACAGACAGACAGACAGACAGACAGACAGACAGACAGACAGACAGACAGACAGACAGACAGACAGACAGACAGACAGACAGACAGACAGACAGACAGACAGACAGGACAGACAGACAGACAGACAGACAGACAGACAGACAGACAGACAGACAGACAGACAGACAGACAGACAGACAGACAGACAGACAGACAGACAGACAGACAGACAGACAGACAGACAGACAGACAGACAGACAGATAGATAGATAGATAGATAGATAGATAGATAGATAGATAGATAGATAGATAGATAGATAGATAGATAGATAGATAGATAGATAGATAGATAGATAGATAGATAGATAGATAGATAGATAGATAGATAGATAGATAGATAGATAGATAGATAGATAGATAGATAGATAGATAGATAGATAGATAGATAGATAGATAGATAGATAGATAGATAGATAGATAGATAGATAGATAGATAGATAGATAGATAGATAGATAGATAGATAGATAGATAGATAGATAGATAGATAGATAGATAGATAGATAGATAGATAGATAGATAGATAGATAGATAGATAGATAGATAGATAGATAGATAGATAGATAGATAGATAGATAGATAGATAGATAGATAGATAGACCTCTCTGCTGTCTCAGCCCTCTCTGTTGTCTCAGACAACTGCAGTCTCAGACCTCTCTCCGTCTCAGATCTTCTTTTTTTTCACCACACACACACCCACACACACATAGATATATACACACACGCACACTCACTAATGCACACAGAAAATTGTCAATACACCTTAAAAGACTAACAATTAAACATCTGGGGACCTTGAGTAATCAAAAATAAAACTGTGATGCCAATGATAACCTTCTATATGAGTTACTATGCTCAAAATATTGTTTCTAAAGCGGCTGCCTGTCTCTTCCACAGTGTCGAGTGCAGAGTGGCATGACTCCATACAGCTCTATCTGTAACTACGCCACGAAAGACATTCTGCTAGAAACTTCAGGCATAGCGGAGCAGGATTACGACCAAGACGATATGGTGGAGGTATGTACACCCATGAGGTATATTTCAAACCAAATGCAAGTAAATTATACGTTTCTCACCAAAGGCGCGACCCACACATGTTAATCGTCATTGTTATAAACTAATGTACATTTCTTGGGCGATGTAGACAGATATCAGTTTGAAGAAGGGAAAAGTGGTTCTCCTAACGAGGTACAGACGTGCTCATGTGAGGATTTTTGAGACCCAGCACATAATATTGTTTGTGAATTCATTTTATTATAGCTGGTGTATATTAGGGTAAAGCTTATTGAGCATCCCCCTCCCCCCCCCCTAACCACCCCACCCCGTCCCCCCCCCCCTCCCAAAAAAAAATGAAGGACTAGACTTCAAATTTTATTTTTATCTTTTCAATATTGTATTCAGCAGTCGCTCGTGCGTAGAAGTGATGGAACATAAAATAAAAGTCAGCCTTATGCAGACAGTAGTAAGTAAGTAAAGTAAAGGACCCTTTTCCACGCCTTTAGTCGTATAGGGCATATAGGGCTAGACCTATATTTTTATAGAGCAATCGGCACAAGATGGGTGATGTGGTCAGCATCACGCCGGCCGCCTTCACTTCCCAGGACTGCACCCAGTACCCACTCAAGGCGTGGTCGACCTGGGAGCCAAGGTCATTTTTGAAAAAAAAGTCCGGCTCCACCAGGGAGCGAACTTAGATCTTCCGATCTGCGGCGAGCGTCTAGCCGCTCAGCCACGGCGACTTCCGACAGTATTAAGTACTAGAGCAATTAGAAGACAGACAGATTTGCCTCTAATAGCTTAAAAAAGAAACTGGGCGCTATAATCAACACAGGGACAATTCAGATTCGAATCCACTCCGTTTGTTCCTGTAGTCAAATACTAGTCTATGTGATATCGCAGCTTTCGTATCACATTTTAAATAACTGGTCAACATTATACGGTGCAGATCATAGATATAGTCGTAGTTTTATATCATCATCATGTAGCAGTTCCTTGGCAGAACGTCGCTCTCATCACAGTCTGCCTGCAAGAAACTCGGTCTCTCGCCAGTTCTGCCCCCCCCCCCCTTATGTACTTTCATACTCAAGGAGTCACTTATATCCTGTACCCATCTTCGTGTCGGTTGGCCCCTGCCTCCCCCCCCCCTCCCATGTACTTTCATACTCAAGGAGTCACTTTTATCCTGTGCCCATCTTCGTGTCGGTTGGCCCCTGCCTCCCTCCCCCCTCATCTACTTTCATACTCAAGAAGTCACTTTTATCCTGTGCCCATCTTCGTGTCGGTTGGCCCCTGCCTCCCCCCCCCCCCATGTACTTTCATACTCAAGGAGTCACTTTTATCCTGTGCCCATCTTCGTGTCGGTTGGCCCCTGCCTCCCCCCCCCCCATGTACTTTCATACTCAAGGAGTCACTTATATCCTGTGCCCATCTTCGTGTCGGTTGGCCCCTGCCTCTCCCCCCCCCCCTTCCTGGCACCATGCTTCTGCTATAATTTTTTTCCAATCCGTCGTGGCGCTTGATATGTCCAAAATATTTCAGCTTCTGAGGCAGGATGCTGTTTATTAGCCAATCTTCCTTGATGTTCAGATCTTTCAAGATGTCAGTATTTCTCCTCTTCTTTGTCCAAGATATAGTTTTATACAGACTGATTTAATATAAAAAAAAAAGGCTGCAGAAATTATTTTTTTTTCTTTTCACTCTTTTCACTCCTTAGGCGAGTCGGGCATATGGAAAGATCACCCATATTTTTGCAGACTAATGGGCACTAGGTAGGTACTGTGACCAGCATTACGCCGGCCGTCTTTACTTCCCCAGGACACACATCCTGGTACCTATTTTATGCTGGGTCTACCTGCGACGCCCCATACCATGATTAAAATGCACGCAGCCTGCAATGGGTTTTGATCGCGGCACGTTGGAATTACGAGTCGGACTCGCAACGCCTAAGCCACGGATGCTGTCGCAGAAATAACTGATATTGTTATATCCAATGATTCATACACTGACGAACAGCTAAGGTAATAACTAATATTTAAGCAGAAGGAATATAAATCTGGCCAACATAAACATACAACGAACACCCGGTTTCTGTGTAATTGTAGAGTGCCTAGAATAAATGTTTTATACGGTTAAACGAGATTTCGTGGATACGTCTAAACGGAGTTGAAATCCTAATAATAACTATTACAGACAAGGCATGTTAATCTTGAAAGCTGCAACCCCACTTCTAGAGGTATGCAATATGAAGGAAAGAACAAGTGCCGATTCAGAGATAAATTATATATTATCTCTGTAATGAGAGCTCACCATTAGCAGAATCGGCTAACAGAATGATTAACCGCTGGTGGTTTCTCATGCGGGAGACCCAGGTTTGAATATTCGGTAAACTGATAAAAGTTTATTTTTGTATGGTGGGATGGGCGGGGGGGTGGGGGGGGGGGGTGAATAATTATCTGCATTTATTTGCGACTGCACCAGCCGCGCAACCCTACACCCCCCCCCCCCCCCCCATCCTCCAAATACCCCTACCCTTTTTTTGCCCTGTTAGCAACACTCTTGAAAAGACAAATGTATTTAGCAAAAAGAGGTGAATATGTCTTTTAAATCGTTTGAGCTTCGGTAAAGACTAACGTGCAATAGACCTTCAAATTATTATTTTTATTATTATTTAAAAGGCATTAAAACAAACGTTAGTCTCCCCAAAGTGGGTCACATTCCAATAATAACTTTTTTCGAGTTGTCTACTTTCCTCTGGGTTACGGGTGTGCAACTCTTTTGTTTGCTTTTTGGCTTGTTTTGCATTTACTTTTTTCTTCCGAGAAAGAGAATACATGTGACATATGTCGCAGCTCCTTCTAGGAGAGTTGTGCGTTAGACACAGTTTGTCCATGTTTTTGGAGTGTTAAAAACCCTACCGTGCTAAAATATACAACATACGATATCAACGACATTGCGGATTCTCGGTAAACGTATGTGAAGCCGCGTGGCTCAAGGTCGATCACTAAGAAGTGAGCTAGGCTAAAGATTGACTAATCAGAAGTGAGGTAGTATGTAACACTATGTAAATGGAGAGAGTAACTTTAGTTTCAACTAATGTGCAATGATGTGTGCCTAGCCTTTATGAAAATATTTTAATTACTGTCAGAATGATAGTTGCATTTTATGTGTTTATTTGCGTTCACGGGCTGCAAACTCAGGATGGAGACCCTGCTCTTTCGTTCGCTTCTGTAACGATATTATGCGCACGGAACTGAAGGTTAACGTGGATGATGTAGACCTAATTATAAAAAAAATTTAAAGGTTTAACGGGTTATCTGGGATTAGCCCTGTTGGTCTGCCATCGCAAGCTATACCTTCAAAAAGCATCCCAGAGAGGACACGCTCATCGATCGATATCAAGACTTCTGTTTTGCCTGTTTCTGTTTTGTACAAACCTTTGCAGTCTGTTGTTTCCTTGTCGATCAGGCACACCTACTCTAACTTCGAAAGAAACGTAGATCCTCTCCCTATGATGACTGTGACCATAGATAGATAGGTAGGTAGGTAAGTTAAACCCACAGGGATATTAAACAAACGATAAACACCCACTGACACAAGGTGCCACCATGCGGATAAGGATCATCCGTGGAGAGGTGCCAGAAACACAGTTCAGCCGTTAAGCCATATTATTGACCATCTTATATTTAGGGTCTCCGGCACAAGCCGAGATGGGGCTTCGAAAAAACAACACACACACAAATGGACCCTACAAGGGGACGACTTCTATTAACTGTGACCAATCTGAATATATTGTATCATCCAGTAGGATGCTGCTATCTAATAGGATACTTGATCGACAGGCGAATCACTGTTTATAGTTGTGTGGAAGGCTCTACAGATCAACTTCACTCACTTTATATGGAGCCCCGTATATACATCTTTATCCATGCATTCAGGGACGGCTGATGATTTCCTGAGGTTCTATGATCACTTATCAATTGGAGCCATCAATTCCGAGTCATGTTCTGAAACACTTTATGTCGTCATAGACCGTTATCTGCGGCACATGACGGAGCATGATGCAGGAGTCTTCTGAAGGGTTCTGTAAAACCAGCACAAACTATGCTGGCGCACGTGGTTGATAAAAGAACACCGCGCATACATGTCATCAAAATCCCGAGGCCACTCAACAATTGAGTTTAAAATACGATAAAATGGCAGCGTTCGCTTCGACACTCTAACAGTGCCTTGTGCATTTCATGCGTGTGCATAAAGTTGCTCCCGTCAAGACTACTTCTCGTTTTATTTTCTACATGCAGCAGTGGCCTGCATTGCGTGTTTTACACTGGCACACCAACGGCGCCATTATGTGGTGACTTGTAGCAATGGAGTTGGGACAGGGAATAACGACCAACATTTATTTCAACTAGAACATACATTATTTAAAGCTATGTGGAACATGTGGATGTCAGAATTCAAGATTATCGAAATCCCTACCACGACCAGACATTGATTTACCGCGCAGGAGTCCGGGGTGCCAGTTTAACTGTTATACGCTTGAATAGGGTGTCTGGAATTTGTGCATGTTTGATTTTCATCCTTGATGTATTTATCGCACAGATAATTCGTGTAGCGACCATTGGATTTGTCAGTAGACGACTTCGTCGCCGGTGGAGACAGTATTTATTTGGTGTTGTCTTCTTTTATCTCATCAACACTGTAGGAGGGTTCTCGGTGGTGTGCAATGCTGAGCCATTTTATATAGCATACATTACCTAGTTACATGTATAACATAAAGCTCCCCCTTCGGGAATGCTGGTTGAAAGGGAATGCAAAGCACCTACCTACCTGGAGCGAACAATACAGCCTACCTTAGAACTGATATATAGACATTATATTTCCTTCTGTCGAGCCTTTCAGTCATAGTTTGCTATGTGTTATCTTTGCTATTTGTTGTTTGCACCTTCCATCTTTCCAGGAAGATTGCGTGTTATTGTGCTATAGGGAGGCATGGGACTCACAGCCCACGTAGATGACGAGTGCGACTAGCAAGACCTGACCTTGTTATTGAAAGTTGTTCAAAATTATAGCATAGGATTTCAGACCTTTATTGCCATCATTTGTGTTTGGTGTGTTTCTTCTCATTATTTCTGCAATCATTTATTTCTTTATTCTTGTTTCCTTTCTGGATTCGCCCCTATATATTTTATTATTAACAGTGAATGAACCCGTTAGCATTTCCCCACAATGGCTGTCGTAAACCGTTTTGTTAGTTTTGACTTTGTCTGGCTTCCTTTGTGAATGTTCCTGAAACAATTTAGGATCACATACTTTAACTAGGTGTGAAGATCAAAAGAACCCTTTACGCAATTTCCTCTTTGATTTTTTTATCTCCTTTAGTTTTTTAGCAAGTTTTCTACCAGTGACATGAGAAAAAAGAAGAAATCTATGTACACAACTCTTGGCTACTCCGCCTTCCTTGTGTACCATGGTTACGCAGACGACGCTTCAAATACTGACAACGCCTGGAAAGAGACGGAGATATGGAACTTCCATTACAAATACAAAGATGCCTTTGACACTTATGTCAAAGATGTAAGTATTTTGTGTACATCAGTCATCATCATCATCCTACTTAGACATTAGACGACGTATATAGCAGTGGTGAAAAGTCGCAAGCTAGTTTGTCCGGGCACGTGTTGAGATATGATTCGACTGCAAAGACTTTACTTCAAGAAATCCTGGCTTTAGGTCCAAGAAGAGGTCGGAAAAAAAAAACTGGAACGACAACATAAAGAAATTGATAGGACAAAATTATCACTCCCTTGTTTAACAAGCGGAAGACAGAGAACGATGGTAGGTTTGTGTGCTAGAGCTACCATTGATACACCTCTACAACCCCAACGGGTCAAAGGTTATGTTATGTGTGGTCATATATTCTTTTCTTGCATGTGCTGTCCTTTCCAAAACTTGACTTTTGCGTACGCATCAGATTTAGAAAGATGGCTTATATGAAGGCAGAATGTAAGCTTCTCACCTCCACACAGTTAGATGCCCTCTGACATTAAAAAAAAAACACCATACTTTATTTTTTGACTTTTGCGAAAGGCTATTCTTACCCCCCCCCCCCCCCCCTCTCCTCCTCTAGCAACTAAGGCCCCGGAAATGACACAGTGTGCCCCACTATTTGGACGGAACATAGGAACTTACATAGTTTTTGATTATAGCGAACACATGGAATAGTGAGCGAGGTCACCTCTGTTTTTTCTTAGGACACATGATGATAACGATGATAATGACGATGTTGATAATGATGGTGATGCAGACGATGGTAGTAACAATGATTATGATGACGACAGCTGTAATCTAGACACGAAAATAATTCTCACCTAGAGAAAAAAAGGACCCTTTTCCACAACTGTAGGTGTATAGGGCCTTTATTTTATAGACGCATCGACAGAAGATGTGTGATATGGTCAGCATCATGCCTGCCGCCTTTACTTCCCGGGACTGCACCCGGTATCCACTCAAGGCTGGGTCGACCTGGGAGCAAAGGTCATTTTCGAAAAAAAGTCCGGCTCCGCCAAGAAGTGAACCCACGACCGTCTTATCCGCAAGCGAGCGTCCAGCCGTTTCGCCACGGCGACTCCCATAATTCTCTCTTTAGCTGACTGAGTGGAATAAGTGTGCTGAGAACACAGACACATACATGTGAAGGCTATTTTTAAATAGTAAGATATGACGGCAATAAAGGCTGTCATAACATCCCTAGTCGTGCAAATCTGTTTATTCTGGGGTGTTGGGTTCGGCAGCATTTTTAATGTACCAGAAAATCCTGCAATCACTTGAACACAATCCTGCACGCGATGATGCGAACATTGTCATCAGAGCCCACTTGTTAAAATTTAATGACTCTGCACCGAAACACACGTACACAAGCTTAAAGAGACACGCGAGCAATTTACACACGTAAACACCTTATATACGCTCCAAAGTGGGAATCAGTTCCAACTGTCTCAATAGCAAACCCCCCCCCCCCCCCACCCGCTTCCCTCTACCTTTCCCTACAATGTAATGTTAACTATTTGCTCTCTGATGCAGACGTAACCAAGCACCTCTCACATGCTAACAAATGTGGTTTACTTGTCCTCTGCTGAGCAGGCGATATTTTATCAGATTGTAGGTGAAATTTGTGTCACCGAAATGTTGAAAATGAAATGGTTTGGTCACCTAATGAGAATGGAACCAACGATGCCAGCATCAAGAGCATACAATATGAAAATCGAAACACCAAGAGGCAGGGGGAAGACCAAGAAGAAGATGCATTGAAGGAGTCACGGACAACTTGAGACTTCATAACATCACGGCATATGAAGCGACTGAGCGCGCCCTGGCTCAGTTGCCGATCATCTGATAGACTGCGACGCCTAGCGGCACAAGCAGATTTTGACAAAAGAAGAAAGAAAGAAGAAATGTTGAAAATGTCACAAACAAAATATCTAGGCCCTACAATAAAAAGCAAAGGGGGGCTGTTTGGCAGAAATTAAAATTGAGGATGGCCATAGCAATGCAAAGATTAAACAACGTTCAAAGTCTATTTTTAAGCAACAGCGAGAAGATCAAAATTAGAATACTGAGAGCATGCATCTTCCCTGTAGCAACATACGGATGTGAGTTGTGGACTATCTCCTAGTCCTTAAAGAAATAGAATATTAGCTTTTTATCTGAAATGTTGTAGAAAGATTCTCAGAAGATCTTCAACAAAGAAGAGGAGATATACAAACATCTTGAAAGATCTGAACATCAATGAAGATTGGCTAATAAACAGCATCCTGTCTCGGAAGCTGAAATATTTTGGTCATATCAATCGCCACGACGAATAAGAAAAAAAAATTGTTGCAGAAGGCTTGGTAAAGGAAAGGAGCAGCAGGGGCCGACCAACTTAAAGAGTGGAGCAATAAATAAGTATCTCGACTATGAAAGTACATGAGGTGGGAAAGCTGGCGAGAGACCGAATATTTTTCAAGCAGACCGCGATGAGAGCGACGTTCTGCAAAGGAACTGCTACATGATAATAATAATAATAATAATAAGATGTTCTTTTTTTTTTTTTTTAATGACTTTCTTTGCTTTGAAGTTGAAATTTGGGCTTAACTGTTGTAGTGAACCAATTTTCTCCTAGATAAATTATGTCCCAGACAGAAGGACGTCAGCTAATAAATGTGAATGGAATATTTGAGTGTAACTCGGACATCACGGGAATTATAGAGAAATGCTGACCATATTACCTTCACGCGAATCACAGAGAAAATGCTGGCCAAATGGAATCCGTGTAAATCTGAGAACACAGGAGAAGGAGAATTCGGAATCACGAGGAGGGCATTAGAAGGTTATATAATGCCTTAGAAAGGGCTGGTGGGCAGTCTGGTTTATGCCTAGGAAATGAATACATGAAGTATGTAGGAGTGTCTGCGGGATCCAGAAAAGTGTTCAAGTCCGATATGTCTGCAGAGTGGTTCGCAACGCCTACCTGGCTATCAGTAATGGCTGACGGAAGTCCCGTAGCCAGCTGAGTATGTGTGTGTTTTGATCCGTCGTTATCTTTCAATTGCTGTGGCGATGGAATGTTCATTATAAGGTATAGTTGACATTTTCGGTGAGTGCGGATAGATATGAGTGACTGTGTTGTACCATAACATTTACTGGCTGCAGTACCAGCGAGTGAACACATAAACAGCAGTAAAATTTGGATTGTTCGCCAGCGTCCATGTTTTCTCGTGTGTGGTCGATCAGTGAATGGAAGCGTGCAGTGACTAGGGCCAGATGGAAGAGAACAGAGAGTCATTGCAACTTTTATGAAACTCAATATTTAATTGCCGTATTGTCTATGTGTGTGTTTGTGTGAGTGCGTGTGGGTGCTTGAGATTAGGTGTAAACTAATATATTTATTTGGTTTCTTTTTTTCTAACAGAATGAAGCCTTTACTTGGATTAACGCCGCATTGGGTGCACGTTTACCTCCGAGCGAGTATTTAGCGGTACTGGAGTCCCAGAAAATTCACGACCAACGATAAGTTTGCAATTTTTTGAACGGCGAAAAAATAAAAATGAATAAATCATTAGCAGATTGCTTGCTGCATGCATGTCTTCGGTCATTTATGATTAGGAAACCGTTACAGCCATACTGACGATAGTTGTCTAACGAATAAAGATAACAGTTTAGCGTGACGAACATAGTTAACCTGTTCAGTTTGTCATATCTAATATTTCGCCCAGCTCAAAGCAATCGTCTTGTTGACTGCTGGAAATGTGTTTTTACGCAGGCGTGACAGGCACAATGAAACAGATGTTGAATGATATGTGTCAAAAAAACATTCTAGTTAAAATCTGTCACTAAAGATGACTTAGAAGTCGAGAGTAGCATTAGACAAGATTATCCCTTTAGGGAACCGCTCTGATGTAGACGCTAGACGCTCTCCTCTGGATTCGCAGTTGTGGTTCAAATCCGCATGGACCTGGGTTGTTTTTAAACATGACATTAGTTCTCATGTCGACCCAGCCTCACATAGGTACCAGACAAAGGCCTGGGAAGTAAAAGCGACCGGCGTCATGTTGACCACATCACCCATCACCCACGTCGTTAATGTGTGGACCATTGGTCTATAGCCTCACATACCTGGTGCTCCACTGGCGTCTAAAGGGATTTTTACTTCATTAAGTCGATGTTTCCGCTTGTGTGGGCCCTCACGAGAAGCAAAGAATAGTGACACTGCACCCTACCAGGCATGTCGTAAGAGGCGACTAAGGGTAGGGTTGGGCTTGAGGTTGGCTACCTCATCCTGTAAAAGAATTTTTCATGCAGCTTTAAAATATTATAAATAATAAAAGAAAGGGCAACCTAAAATTTTTATGGGCTACTTGAATGCTAAGATTGGATCAGATAACACAGGTTATGAAGAAATTATGGGAAGACATGGTCTAGTAGTAATGAATGAAAATGGAGAATTGTTCACAAATTTTTGTGCAGGAAACCAGTATGAGTAGTTATACATGTACTAATCAAATTGACCACCTATGTATTAAAAAAAAGTTTAGTTCATCCCTTTACGATGTTAGGGCTTTCAGGGGTACCGATGTATTTACTGACCATTTCCTGGTGATAAGTAAAATCAAATTGAAATTAAAAAGATTTATAACATCTTATAATCATAGAAACCAATATAATGTAGGCTTTCTCAGGGATAACGAAGTTAAGGAACAGTTCTCAGTTACGGTCTCTAATAAGTACCAGGTGTTGCAGCAGCTAGCTGAAGATGTCAACACAGAAGTCTGCTGTGATCAGATTAAAGGAATCTGGAATTAATCTTGCGTAGAAGTTCTTGGCAAGAAAGAAAGGAAACATAAAGCATGGATAACACCAGAAACCATTAAACTGATTGAAGATAGGAAAAGTAAAAAGGCAGACTTATTAAACAATAGCAAAACTAGAGCTGCTAAAGCTAGAGCTCAGGAGGAATACACAGAAGCCAACAAGGAAGTTAGGAGGCATATAAGGGCAGATAAAGTGAAATACCTAAATGATCTAGCACAAGAAGC